AGAGGTTGTTTTTCTGCTCATTTTGGTCGAAATTGTCCGTGGGGATTTCTTGACATCAACATTTTAGATCAGGGTTTTTAGCTTGTGGAACTTTATCCAGGTCAGGCCGTGACGTGGAAGGGATCCAAATGCTGCCTTTAGAATCATCTCAGGTCTTTGGGATCCTTCAGGAGACCAGACTCCAAGGTTTAGAGCCACTGCCGTCGATACTAAATAAAAGGGTACTTTACATTTTTTCGAATACTCCGCCACGCATGTATCCTGACCTCCACGTCGTTCAGAGCTATGATCTGGAGTTGGTTTGTTTCTGTTGTAGTACTACACCTGTCCACTAGTCTGAAGTAGCCTTACAACGAATCATTTTCCTGAGGTGGTTTTACAGTATTTTTAAAAAATACCCAAATCTTGAGGATTAAAACTTTAAATATGTAATACTCCAACTGTGTTACTTGCGTACAGGGTTTGTTTTTTTCGAAGTGAGTTTTGGATGAGCACTTACTGCGGAATAGATGAATTTGGAGAAACTGGAAATGGGCAATAATTGCGTCTAGAAACCTCTCCTGTTTTGCAGCTATCGTTGACTTGACATCACTTGCACTTAATACCAGGGGACGATCCCTAAGAGCATTGCAACTCAGATTTCACAAGTATTCGTTCATTCACAAGCAATACTCCAGTGTGGGTCCAATCTACAGTATAGATACTGCAAAATATCCTAAATTATAGAGTGAGTTCCAGTGTATGATATATATATATATATAAACGATAATCAAGTTCTACAAACCAAATGTATACCGTAGAGTTAGCTAAAATAACTAAACTAGAGCTACACCAGGCTAGCCGTTAGAGCATGAACCGTGGTTTTAACCAACCAGGGGGTCTGTAGCATTTTCCCATTAGAACAAGTTAGAAAAGCACAATTTTGCTCAACATGGTCGCTCAGTGTACAATCACTTTTGATCATAGAGTGTAAATAGTATTTCAAGATGTCCTGAGTACATATCTGTGTGTATACACACGTGTATATAAGACATACTGTATAACCAGAGAATATTTGTGAGGTAAAAGTATTCATATTTTCTCTATCACCAATATAGAGTACTTGTATTTTCATCCCAGTAGTCCAAAATACTCTGCGTCCGTGTGTGTGTGTGTGTGTGTCAGGGACATGGCTTTAAAGACATTGACAGATTTCCTGAGTTTAAGACAAACAATGAGACGTTTGAAGATTATGCAAAGCCACGTTTGACTCTGAAGCCCTGCACGTGTGTGTGTTTGTGTGTGTGTGTGTTTGTTTTATTTATTTATTTGTACGTATGTGTGTGTGTGTGAATAAGTGCCAGTATGTGACTGTGTGTACCTTAGTGTGTTTGTAACTGTGTTGCCTTAGTGTGAATTTGCCAGTATTGTCTCGTTTTTCCTCCAGCAGGGGGAGCTATGTGCACTTTAGAGTGTTAACATGACCTAAAAATGTGCAATGTCTGATGGTCGTTCATTTGTGGATGTTTTAAAAATATATATATATATATGAATATTCTACAGTGTAACTCTAAGCTCTTGGACTGAGTGTGTCAGGAATCAGAGGTCTGTTGAACAGCTGGAAATAACTGTTTTGCTTTTGCTGTTTGTACCCGTGTCATTGCACTCAGTATTTTTACAAACTGGCCAACATATGTCATGAGTAATAGGCCTTTTGTGGCCCACATTTGGTATCCAACATCTGATCAGTAAGTCGTTCCGTGAACCCCAGACAAACCTACCTGGTCCAAAGCAGGACTCCCAGACGTGGACCAGAGAATATCTTCTCTGTTTCTTTCTCTTCGGGCTTTGACTCACTTCTGGCTCTCAGCTAGAGTTTGTTGGGCCAAACCTGACAAAGAGCAAACAAAAGGGAGAACCAATTAAATTACATTTGCCTTAGATGTGACCCGCATTTTAGATACATCACTTCATGTGCACCAATTTGTGCTATGTGGGTTTCAAAGAGTCCAATTAATGCATAGTAAAGTTGGTCTTGACCACATATTTAAAACTTTACAATATTTTTTTTTCAGACTGTCGACACAAACAATTTTTGGCCTACAACATAGGGGGCAGTACAGTGTCGTTTTTTGATTAGGAGAGATTTTATCCATATTCTCGATCACTGAATACCAGATGTTTCGGCCACTGAAGGTCAGCCGTTAATTTCTACAGTAAGGCCATGTGAACAGTGTTTGTGTTGCTTCTCCTTTAACCCTCGACACTGAGACACAGCCAACATCAGCCATGTAACATAGTAGTGGTGGGTGCGGGTGGTGGTGGTGGTGGTGGTGGTGGGGCTCACTGTAGTAGCCTCTGAGAGCCACACGTGTTGCGACTTCTGCTGCTAGACTTTCCGCTGCTTCCTTTGCACGTGCATGCTCTGCCTTGCTTCTTCAGCTCGTACCGTACTCTGTATCCTCAGTATCTATATATCTATAAATATACATTTATATACACACATATACCGTATGTAGCACCTGTAATTAGCTTGAGTGTCTGATGTATAGCCAATAGCCTGTAGATTTCTAGTGTACCGTCGCTCCGGCCTTTACCTGTGATATTCTGTGTCTCCGGCTTTATTATAAACGTATCTCTGTGCCGCAAGCATGCTAACCTGGCCTCGCACTGTCGTACCTCGCTGAGCTTGATCTGACTTTTTTCTTCTATCTTCTATCTCTTCTCTGCCGCTGCTTGAATACCGTCGCCGCTCACACTGTAGTCTTGTTATATCTATATATACATATATATATACATATATATCTGTGTGTAGTCCCTCAGCATGTCTCTCTTTCTCTCTCTCTGAACGCTTTGTCTCTGCTTCTGCACCTTTATGCCCCTTTTTTCTATCTTTCTCTTCCTGCTTCCTGGTAGCAGTGGCAATAACGTAACTTTTACGCACTTTCTCACAGCTCCGACATTTCTGGGCTACTCAGTGTCGCTCTGTTTGTTGGGTTTAGGCACATTTGTTGGCTGGTGTCTCCGTGTCATGGACTGTTAAGGGTTTGGAGGACTGGTGACCCTGTAGGTTGTGTGAGAGATTTCTAAGATGTTTTAGCTTGATTGTCTTATTATGCAGGTGTTTATAGCTTTTAACAGAAACCGAGAGAAAATGTAAGTGTACCACGGTTTCTAGCTTACAGGTAACAATATCTGTCAAAAAGAACAGTTTAAATGCCTATTTCGCTCAGAGTGGAGTCACCTTCCAATAAACATGGTGCAGTTTTGAATCATTTATTCTGCGATCTGCTGTGCTAGCTTCTTTGAATCATTCTTGGCCCTGGAGTACATGTTGTTATTCAAAAAAATACAAATAAATATTGTCCAAACAAATAATCACTGAATCGTTTTTAAAAAATAAAAAAAAATATATATATATTTATATATATATATATATATATATATACACACTGTATATACTCCGACTGTATATATAAAATCCCAAACTAATGTTTGTTTTTGCCTGATATGTAAAAAAAATGCAAAAAAAACCCTCTGAAAATCCTTTGAACACAATTGTTTGCCCCAAACATCCGAATGTTGGCTAAAAGTAAGATGAGAAAAAAACAAAAAAAGTATATAGTGTAGATAAAGTGATTCAAAAAAGATTCAGGACATGTTTCAACCCCTACATTAGATTTGGGTTAAAAAAAAAGTTTCTACCTAGAAAAAAAAATAATCACAATTTCAAAGATCAACTACAAATTAAATTAAATTAAATCAGAAAATTCCTATTTTTGGACAGTATCAAAAACATTTCCATCCAGAGCCAGTAATTTCAACGCTCTTAACACAACGTTAACTTGTAACATCTTGTAAAAAAAAAGTTTTTAGTTACTGTTGGCCATTAATCTGTTCGAAATCAAGCTGTCTCTAGGTGGCACTGTTACACCATACATTTGTTAAACAGGTAGAGAACTATTATTCCTTCAATTATCCATGCATTTGTCTTAAATGTTTCATTTGTTGCAACGTAATATTTTTAGCTATAAAAGCAAAGATTCTACTGGGTTTACGCCAAACTTTCAGAGCAGAATAATCTGTGACACCAACTTGGACCAGAAACAGAAATCAGTCCATCTGTTTATTTAAGTGGACATTAAAGGCTCAGATTAGAAGGTGAAAACATGTGCTGGACATGATCAACTCCAGCTTTAGTCTGAGTGGAAAACAGGTTACAAATATGTCACGTGATCACAGCTAAGTGTTTCCACGTCCCTGTCTGAGTGTGTTTACACCGTGACGTCCAGAGCTGGGGCCTTGATCTATCTCCAAGCTCCTGACGGATCCACACGGTGAAGGGGAACCAAACTCTGTTTCTGCTTCAAGCCATACAGTATAATCTGTTTGACATCTGTGCCTAATGTTCTTCCTGTGTATCTTGGGCTGTTGTTAGCTTCACAGCTACAAATTCACCATGATTAACTGGAAGAACTCATCAAAATCTCAATGGAAATTTAAGAATGTTAGATTTTATTGACTTGCAAATGTGAGATATTTCAATTTGTCCTGCCATTTGGAAACTGCTCCTCATATTTTGCAATGAATAGAAAAAGAAATGGAAAGACTAATGTGCAAATAATTATACAAATTGATTATGTATTACATAATCACATTTTTTTAATTGTATTTTTCCTACATGTTTCTCATTACATTTTGGATTTTTTTTAGAATTTGTTTTTGAAAAAAAATGAATTCGAAAAATTTTTTTGAGAAAATGTTTAAAAAAAATTCTCAAAAAAATTTTCTGAAAATTTTTTTGAGAATTTTTTTTTCACGATGGTAAGGCTA